GGCTCCGGACGCGCAGGCTCAGCGGCCATGGCTCACGGGCCCAGCCGCTCTGCTGCATGTGGGATCCTCCCGGACCGGGGCACGAGCCCACATCCCCTGCATCAGCAGGCGGACTCTCAACCACTGCGCCACCAGGGAAGCCCGTGACTGGCTTCTTTTACTTAGCATAATGTCCTCACGGTTCATCCATGTTGTAGCAGGTGTCAGAATTTCCTTCCTTGCTGAGATAGAATTGTATCCCATTGCATGTATCTAACAAATTTTGTTACTCTTGCACCTTTTGATGGACACTTGGGTTCTTTACACCTTTTGGTCTTTGTGAATGATGCTGCTGTGAAAGTAAGTTTACAAGTAATGAGCTGTTCAAGCCCTGCTTTCACTTCTTTTGGGTCTATACCAGATGTGGAATTCCTGGGTTGTATGTGTAACTTTTTGAGGAATTACCATGTCATTTTCCACAGCACCCATACCATTTTATTTTTTGTAAAAATTAAAAAAAAAAGATTTCTTGTTCCATTTATCTTAACAGTATTTCTGGCAGCTTCTCAAGCTTGAGACTCATTACCCACCCCCCTCCACCTTTAGCAAATGATGCTGGTCTGTCTGCTGTACTGAAAAGATCCTCTAATACCTGTCCAACATCACTGTTCCTTTCTCACTTCCTTCCGAAGACAAGGCCATTCTACTACCTGAAACTAACCCTCCACCTGTGTTGAGTTCTCCCCTACCTGCCCCTTCCTTTGGGGTCCTGATGGACCCCTCACCCTTTCCTCTCAGTCTGGAATCTTCTGTCTGCACAGCAGATTGCCCCATTCACGTGCCTACAGCCACCCCCAGACATCCTAAGCATTCAGCAGGCGCTTCGGGGAACCTTCTTGGCCATCACACTTCTCCGTCTCCTCCCCCACCACGAGCAGGTCCTTGTACCTGTGGCCAGGTTCTGTGCTCTACCCTGTGTGGTCACCGTCTGCCTCTCCCCCACGCATGACCCAATGGCACTTCACCTGCAGCATCTCCAAGCCAGACGCGATCATCCTCTTCCATTGCCTTCTCTTCCTTTGCTCACCTTGGCTGTGCCTATCACGAGCCACTGTGTGTCTGGTGCTCAGTTACTCTTGATGAAATTACGGCAGAACCTCTCTTTACTCGCTACACCCTCAGTGCTGTACCTGCCCTTCTTGTTCCCTGACTGTGTTTCAGCATTTCCCTAAAACTCATCTGGCAGTAGACTTGTTTTTCTCAGGAAGCTGTGACGTTCTCCAGCTGCCTTGGAGAAATGGGTCAGATTCCAGGTTCTGCCATTCAGGATCTTCACAGTCAATCCAGCCAGCTCTCCTAGCCTTTGATTCTTAGAGACACGAGTAGAGTGCGCCTCTGGATGCTCGGAAGCCACCCGCAGGATTAATGCCAAAGGTTGATAGGAAGAAGCATGAGCTCCAGGGGCTGACGTTCATCGATCACTTGCCGTTCTGAGTGCTTTGTGTTTATCATCTTCTGTGACCCTTACAGTACTCCCATTCCATAGGTACGATCGTTGATTGTAGGTGAAGACACCTAGAACTGTTAATGAACTTGCCCAAGGCTATGGGACCAGGCAGAGGGATAATTTAAGCCCACGTTGCCCGGATCCAGAGCCACATCCTTCCATTCAGTTCCCCCAGAGAGGGTTCACTGGGCACTAGCGATCCGATGGCTCAGAAACAGGGCCTAAAGTGGTTGTCCACATCGACGGACAGCAGCTCTGGATCAGATGCTTTGGGGCTGTAAAGACATCAGCTTCGTTCCCTGTGGAGCTTTTCATCGGAGTGGATATGTCCTGTGTTTTGTGGCATAAAGCAATTAAAAAACTTTGACGCTATGCCAGCAGAAATTGGCTGTGTCTAGAGAGGGAGGTAAAGGCGGTTCCATGGGGCTGGTGCTGAGGCTTCTTGGAGGATGGGTCTCGGTGATGGGCCCCCTGCATTGGCCACAGAGGCTTCTGTTTCTTCACCACTCGTGGATTGCAGTGCTAGATTTGGGGCACGTGGGGTTTTGCCATCAGAATTAACACAGGCATTGACATTTTCACTCTGTTCCACAAATCCTACAACTCTGTGGGATGATCCTGGAGAAGACTACCCTGTGAACTAGGCACAGCCTCCCTAGAAGTTTCTAGAACTTTCTGTTGAGGGAAACATTGACCCTGATCCACAATAAAAAATGCATTGTCGGGCGTGTCTGTGTGTGTGTGTGTGTGTGTGAAGCTGAAAAAAGTTCTAACCCTTTATTCCATGGGATGTACTCTGGCATTTTCTATTCTATTCTGGTATCCTTTAGTCTACTCTGAACTAACGTATTTCACTAAAAAAATAAATTGCTGGTTGACAGGCACTAAATTTATTTCCTGAACAGTGAACGTATCTCAACCCACATTTGAAAAACACTGCTTTTTACCGTTCTTTCTATTTCTTCCACCCTCTTGTTTG